ATAAATTTAATCTAAACAAACGTTGATATTAAAATGATAATAACAAATTCGTTACAGGATTCACTTAGTCAAATGCAAGAACATGTAACATCTGAGTAACCATCATGATGTCGTGTCCCCCAAAATTATGCCATTTTTAGGACGATAATGCATCAATATTCTAAACTTAGAGAATAATGGGTTTGTTTGATCAATACAGTATAATATTCCAAGATTTGGATCATCCCTTTTAATTCCTTGGATCTATATACAACTGAATATTTTTGGAATGATATAGCACTATCGTTGCCCGAGAAACAACACAAGTTATGGTGCTTTCTTCGGGACAAGTGAATAAGTTAGACTTAGAAATGTCGATGATTGAAACTGTGTACCGAGCATGATGTTTCATACAAGCACTACTAGACATATTTTTAAGAGGACTAATAATGTTCAAGTGTTTCATGTTGTCCATATCAAATTGGTATCGTCCGCCGTGCAACCTTTATCAAGTTAAACTATTACAAACTACGCAAAGTTCTTTTGTATTGTCACTAAAACTTTAAGTTTAGATAATTGTCTTTTAATGTTAACCTTATGACATACTTTCAGTTTTAATGATGTCGTAAACACTAACAATGTTATAGATGCTTGTGGATTTTCTGGTTCGACCCTTTTAATATTGGTAACTTAATCGATTTTATTGAAGTTCATGTTTATGTTTTAACAATTAAACGAAGGTAAAAAAAACAGGTATCGCTGTGAAATATTTGTTAAATAAACATTTTCATTCTTTCTCGGTAAAAAAAATGAAACATGTTTTGAGGGATATCTTGCTAGAATTAAGGCTTAAGATTTCTTTCTTTTGCCGTAATGTAGATTGTAATACGAAATATCTCTGCGTTTTAACGAAACCTACGTTAACTTTTCTTTTACCTACAGACACGTAAAGCTTATTTGAATAACATTCCATATGATCAACCCAACAGGGTTAGTGAGAGCTGTGCTTCACTAAATAAATCATTATAGTCGGTCATAAAAGAGAGAAAAAAATTCATCCCAGAAAATATCTTTAATTCTCCAATATATAGGGAAAAATATCACCTGTAACAAACGTAATGAATCCTGTTTCATAGTTCAGGAACAACTATCTCTTCTCTGTTTATCATTAAATCAAAACATCCATTTATTACTTGCACTTATCTCAACATGAAAACCAGAAAATATCTTTAATTCTCCAATATATAGTGAAAAATATCACCTGTAACAAACGTAATGAATCCTGTTTCATAGTTCAGGAACAACTATCTCTTCTCTGTTTATCATTAAATCAAAACATCCATTTGTTGCCTGCACTTATCTCAACATGAACACCAGAAAAGAAAACACACACACACACAAAACTACGCCACACTTTCTCAAATGTAATTGGCTATGTACGAACTTAATTCAAAGATTAAGTAAATATAAATAAAAATCCAGACGAAATTCAAAATAAGTCTCATGATATTGTAAGGGACGAATCAGCTACTTTGTCATATTTTAAGATTACCGTATGGAGAATAAGTGTTGTCTTCCAATTAAAGGAGCTTTCTATGACAAAACAAAAAAACAACGCCGCTCTGAACTTAAACCAGTCATCAATATTTTGGATCACAACAATTTTAAATTAATTTCCAAACCATTTTATGCAATCTTCAAGTTTGTTTCGCATAAGTCAGTCTATTCTGCATCATATGAAAACCCGTTAGGAGAACGTTGATGAGATGGAACCGTCTGTAATAATGCAGAGCATGATCAAAATTAGGATATTAAGATAGTGCTTTTTAATTGTTCTATATTAATCTCAGTTAAGTTGCCAGAACTATAAATGATTTAGTAGATTAGATAATTTTTTTAAAAACAGGCGATATTACTCTTTCTTTTCTTTCTTTTTTTTTAGTAAAAAGAGATGTTTTCTGCAGTGTAATAATTGTTTTTGTTTTTTGTGTGTTTTCAGAAATATGCTGCCAATTTTGAACAAGAAAACATCGGAATAATGGAGCTTCCTTACGTCACGGAAGAGCGTTTGCAGAAAATTGGAGTTCCAATGGGTCCACGCATGCGTATTATCAAAGAAATCCAGATGTCTTTTGGCCAGGATCAATTTAAGATATATATAGTGTGAAACAAGCCACGAGACTAATCAAACCTTAAAAGGAGTTTTTCAGTAAACGTCAAATCCGGACTGTGGATATATAAACAAGTTATTTTGGACTCAGAGTGTGGCCAGGATTTTAACTAAATGGATTAATGGATTAACAGATTAATCAAAATGACCTTATGCTTGTAGATTCTATGAACTTTATATAAGATTAAAAGTGACATATGGAGCTGTGTTCATATGACGTGTTTATTTGTGAGATATTTTTAGACTGTGTCTTCATTTGATAGCTCACCTGCTAAATTATGCACATTATGAACTATTTATTTACATGATGTATAAACTGAAAACATCATTATAAGTACATTTCTGACTGCTGAGGGAACATGTTATATTCAGACAACTGAACAATCTTCAAGCTGACTTGATGTTTAATGTTGTTTTCACACCATGTGAATTTATAAATTCACTCTATGGTTCCCTTTCACATGATCGTCGTCAGCTTAGTTTTCAGAATTGCAAGGAGCAAGACTTTAATGTATGGTTTACTTCTTGTTTCGAAGAGCAATCATAAGTTATGCCTACATTATTTCAGAGGCAAAGTACCTATGGTAAAGTAACAACATTTAATTGAGTGTTTAAGTGGAGCTTTAAATATTGATAGATTAAAGCATTATTTGAAAATTTTGGAAGGGCTATTTCTTCATAAAAATCAATAATTTTTAGTTAACCCATTTATATCTTTATTTGCATTGGTACTTTTAAAGAACTATAAACATTTGTCCAATATATATATATGTGTGTGTGTGTGTTCGTGTGAAATTCAAACTGTAGTAGCGTGGTAATTTCATTGTTCTCATTATCGCAGCTATCATTTCACTAGTAATAGTTTTCGTATTAATTACCCAAATTATCTAAATATCTCGATAAAACCAAAGGCTCTTTGATAACAGATGAAATTAGAATATTTGATTAATCTTAAAGAAGCTGTTGACATCTCTTTGAGCCACCAGTAAAGTAATAAAATGATTCACAAGTCTGAGCATTTATCACGCACTTCTCTTTTTCTGTGAAGATCATCACGCTGCAATGTTGTAGGTTTCAACTTTACTTCATGATGACAACTTCAATGGCGTATTAAAATGACACTGTTATGTTAGTTTGTACATAAATAAGTATTGTAACACATCTCAGAATTGCTCTTTGCGGCAACTATTTGTCTAATCTTCTTTATTGCTGTGTTTTCAAGATAGGTAGAAATGTGCAGTTGTTCATGTAGTCGAGTGTTCTTCTGAGATATTTTCCGTGTGCTAGTCTTTACGGTCCTCGTGGTCAGCGTGCTGGATTGTGGAATTGAGGGACTGCGGTTTCTGATGCGTTACTAACAAAACATCTTGCTTGTAATATTAATTTCTTTAACTATAAATTAATTTTCCTTGAACAAGTATCATTTTTATAATTATGAGGTATTATTTTCGTATTTTCACCCACAACTCTGTAAATAACAAAACAAACCCATTTGGCTAAACTAAATAAAACCCTACATGTTACTAAGTCATTTAAAAATTAATTAATTAATAAAAATACTCCAAAACTCTAGCCACTTGACACTGGATATTCTATTTTAAAGAATCTCTTTGATAAAACTATATAACATATAATGTAACCGATGACGATTTTCAGGTAAAAGCATTATTTCAGAAAAGCTTTGGTTGGGGGTGGGGGCTGGCCTCGCGTGGGTCTCCCAATTCAGCTGGATGTCCTATGCTATGACGTAGTTTGTGAATAAATGTTAATTCCGCCTGGCTAGAAATACTTCAGAGATATTGCGATTTGGGGATCCCTCCCGAGCTTGAGATGTGGAGTATTAGCCCTTGTCGCCCCTCTCTCCACAATGGCACTTCTGTTTTCAGGTGCCTAGTTTCGTTATAGATATTCACGTTCTAAGTATTCATTAATAGTTATTATAGCTAAAAAATTAGACTTTGTGTTGAAAACAAGTTAGTCAGAGAAAGTACGAAGTACACGATACTTTAGCAGTCCTTTTTGTTTCTAGTATTTTGGAGAAAAAGGGGTAGGGTAATTTATGAATAAGCAATAACACAGTGGCAACTAATAGTTTATACGTATTAACAACTAAATTCATTTTTGGTATCAATTGCTTTTATGCCCTGTGATTCTATAAACTTTGTGTCCTTTCTAACATGACTACAAAGTATAGTCAAATCAGTGATAACGTAAACCTTCAATAATAGAAAGTACTGCTCGCCCTCAGTAGACATCTAATGAAACACCGTTTTATAGCTTCCTCATGTACCTTGCTACATAGTTAGAAATGGGACTGTATCAAAGTCTGCAGTGACTGGCCACATACTTTGCGTCACAAAGTCCAGTAACTAGTCCAGGAAACAAGTTTATTTGTGTCTTGAAAGCATCGGAATATAAGATATCAGATAGCTATCCTGGTTTGGTTTAAGCCTATTGTCTGCTAGTTACAGGGCTGTCCCAATATAAAACAGGTAGTAATACTCACAAACTAATTTCCATAACGCAACAACTATCAAAATACGTGTTAGCTTTTCCACTAAATATATATATATTGAGAAATAAATGATTGAGTGAACTAATAAAATAAACTTAGAGATATACAACGAAAATCATAAACGTCTGTTAACTGTCTGAAAAAAATCAATATATTTAACATGTGTTAACGTCAGAATTCAACAAAACAAGAAGAAAAGAAACAAATCCTAATTCAACTAGTTCTTGCCATGCAAAAACACTTTTAACTCAATCACTATGTACACAGACTAGTTCAAAAATTCCTTTATGTTAGAGCATATCAAGGAAAAACAGTCAGTTTTTATACTACAAGAAAAGCGAAATACTTAGGAAAGTTTATATTTTACGTTGAATCTAACAAGTGAATCATACTCCTAGTTAAGCATTAAATTAGCTATTCAATATTTTATATGATTTGAATATGTACAAGTGTGCTGGATATCAGTTACAGAAATATAGGATTGTCATGGTAAGTTAAGTTTAATGTCCACTGAACATAAGGGTCAATTGGTCAGATGAACTGTAATCAGTTCTAAATGTTAAGCGCCAACTTCTTTCCTTCTGGAGGATGAGAAGTAAAGGTCAGTTGGTCAGATGAGTTGTAATCAGCTCTAAAGGTCAGCGTTTAGTCATGTTTCTGTGAACGAAAATTAGAAGCATATTCTCATTGGTTAATTGCACCTTTCACCTCATTATCTGATAGCTTTAAAAGGAGTTCAAGAACCAGCCCAAATATCAAGTCCAAATATCACTGAAATCATGAGCGTCACTACAGCCATTTTGTTGTTCCTTGTCGTTACTGTTGTGAATGGTAAAACGGTCAGTTTCACGGATTGTGGTGAGTTTGAGTTTTTATAATTTAGGATTTCGACGAAGACTAAAACAGACTAGCAAGTTGTATATGTTTTGTTTTTATTTGCTTGTGAGTTATTTTTAAATTATTATTCTTGCTCTGCTGAACTATGTCGGACAAGGAATTTACACATACATATAACATTAACTTGATCTTTTTAAAACATTCGCATAAAGGTGGTGTTGAACTGGATGTTTATTCTAATAAAAAAATCAATTCAGATAAGAAAAATGCTTTAACGTTTTACTTCAGGTAATAAACTTTAGATGTTCAATTATGAAAAGAAACATTCGAAGAATCTCCACTAAGTATATGCGATGAATGATGATAATTATTTCATAAGAATTGCATTATTAAACATATTATTGTAAACAGTGGAGTTTTAGTTACATCGTCTTTGAAGTAGGGTCGTTTAAGGAGTTTAAACGAACATTTTTAAACATATTATTGTAAACAGTGGAGTTTTAGTTACATCGTCTTTGAAGTAGGGTCGTTTAAGGAGTTTAAACGAACATTTTTAAACATATTATTGTAAACAGTGGAGTTTTAGTTACTATCCGTACGTTTAGAACGTAGGGTACGGTTTAAGAGGTTAACAACTATTTTTAAACATATT